AATGTTTTCTCTTCAGTTCTTTGAGTGTTCCTGAAAGACAACAAGTTGCACTTTGGAATGACCTTATTATTGTATCGTTTTTGATCTGAGTTTGTTTTACAGAATGAAATGTCTGAATGAGTGCTCATCCAAGATTGCTGATTCCAGACTTTTTGCCAGGGGCTGTAACAACTCACACTGTAGAGCAGAAAAGTGCCATAGAGAAGAATCTGTTGTTTTGCTAGATTGAGTCTCTATCAGAGTGATGAAGAATATAGTTCAATATGTTTCAATAAACAAAGACCAGAGTTTCTTTTCTTAAACAGACACACTTTGATGTCACTTTCTGTTTCACTTTAGCTCAAAATATGCCGGTTATGTAACACAATTGGTAAAATCATGAGCATTGTACAGTTTCCTAAATATGTTTTCTTTGACATTTTTTCTTTCACAAACTATGCTGAATTAAAATATTATAACTCCTGGACAGTGATTCAACAGGTATATTATATTAAATGTTTGTAAAACAAACACAGAGGAGTCACCACTTCTCAGAGCAGAGTCAGATAATCAACTGTTTGAATAATAATGATCACACTTATGTAGTAATTTCCTGCATATAATTATCAGTTCTGACTATATTCTTAACCATTTCCCTGACGACACAGAGGAGGAAGGAAACCCCCACTTTTGACCTCAGACTATTCCTAAGGATTTTTGCATGGAACTTCATTTGTGGCCTGAATTAACARCTCTCACACAAACCCCCACCAGACTTCCTGACYRCTTACAGTTAATWGATAAGAATTGCCACATTCTTGAACCCCCACAAGTTTCGAGTGACCTTATAAGGACAGGACTGTTTGTTCCTCTTCAAAGGGACCATAAATTCCTTTCACCAGACTCTTCAGCTTGACTGYGAARAAAGGAATCTACCATTCTTGATTAAATAAAAAGAGAACCAGATTGAATGTTTTTATCCAACTGTCTGTTTTCATATATCTGAATCAAAAAATGTGATTTTACTTGTTTCTCTTTACAGAAAGGACAAAACCCATTGAAGTTCCATTATGTTCTTGTTTTAACTAAGTATTTACACACTAAGGACTCAGTATTATAACTGTGTGATGTTAATTGTTTTGATGAAATGTTTTCCTGAAGATGTGTGTTTTATTCCATTATTTAATCCTTAGAAATTTAGGACTTGAATTTTAATAATTAACTGTGATAATTTTATCCCTGAGGCAAAACCCAGATGTCTCCTCTTCCCTTTGAGGTAAATGTAAGATAAACTAGAACACATCCTTGTCTTTGTTTTCAAAGTAAAATTTACCTCCAACAGATTTGACTCGCTGAGACCCTTTTCCTGTATAAGGTGTAACATTTTTATTGGCCAACTAACAACTTAACTCCGCCCCAAACAAAGGTTTTAAAAAAAGTCAGCGTACTCTCAAATTAGTCAGAAGAGAAGAAGAGTAAGAGTTGGAAGATTTGAATATCAGCAGCAAAAGACTTCAGAAGCTTCAGCAGAGACCGACCCCGTCAGCCCCTCCCATGGCTGGCCAGGTTACGGCTCTGCATCTCCTGCTGGTCTGGACGTACAGGCCACCGTTTCACCTCGGCTCAACGAGCTTGATTTTAATGGAAGTCAATAAGCTAATTGTAACTCATGCGTTGTTTTAGCCCGTTTTTTTTTCTACGAAGTTGAGATCAAATTACCAAGCCTTGCAGCAGCCGAAGACCGGACCACGTCGTCACCAGAGAATTACCCATTCTCTGACCACCGGGACCAGTCGAGTACAGGCAAACCCCTGTGGCCTGTCATCCAGCTGTATGAAGAGCCTACCTGGGAAATGACCCCCAGAGATGACCTTCAGTCGCTGACTTCCCTCCTGGTACCCACATGGCGGAAACAAAAGGGTAAAAGTGAACATTTGTTCTAGTGACAAACAGGTGCTCAGACTTAATTTGATTTCTTATCTTTGTATGAGATTTGATAATCTGAACGATTTCTCTCCCTCATTTTAACCAGGATCCCTTAGTTAAATTCTCAGCTAAAGCAAAACTCCTCACCTCACCCCAGCCTCAAAACTCCCCTTTTAGTGTTTAGTTTGTTGTTTATTTGTTAATTACTTGTGATTGCAAAACTCTTTCAGTTTACATGGTTCAATGATGTCATCATTTCATACTTACCATAGCGTGTAAATACATTTAATCTGTGAATAAATGACCCATGGAGAACTGGTCAACATGAGACAACGCCTAATTTTCTGTGTCTTGATKAGATTTGATTGATTTTGATAAGAAAAGAACTCATCAGATAACTTTGGGTAGATTTATTATGAGACTGATTACAGTAAAGTTACAGGTTTTCYTCTCTTTCCTGGGTTAATTCTTGACCAAATTAAGAGCGTGGTGCCTCGAGGAAATAGAATTCATGAATCTAATAATTCATAAATTGTCACATTAATATATACCCAAAAAAACCCTACACTTAAACTCCTTTATGTCTTTAATGCCTTCTGCTCCTTCAACATTACAAATAAACACTCATTTTTACATACATTTCATGAAATAAACAGATAAAGTTTGGACAAGTGCTGCTCAAACCATATACATCAGAATACACGTCCAAGTATTTCAACAAATCACAAACCCAGCCAGGAAACAGTCATGATGATTGATCCCTGCTTTTCTAAATGTATGTAATGTAACAGCTGATTGATGGCAGCTAAAGCTAAATGCTAAAACTATGCTAAAGAGTGTTGTTTTGCTCACAATATTCAACGTAAATCACTGTCTGTCTCAGTTCATGGGCTGCGTCCTCATGAGTGCYCATTTATTGACGAGTGATAAAACGCAGAAAACAATGTGCCGACAGCAAAACTAAACAGAGAAACGAAGACGGTGGAGTTTAAATTTTTTTACCTAGCTTGGAAATTCATCACAAACCGAATAATTTGTTTTTTACAGTAAGTTTAATAACTTATCTGATMAAATTTATGCTGCAATAGTACTGAAACTAGAGAAAGCTAGACCATCTCATTTCACAGCAGTTTCCTGCAGCCTATACTCAGACTGGYAAGGATGTGGCCCACGTGGTCCAGGTGGGCTARGTGCTCATGAGGACCCAGCCCATAAATTAAGACACAGCCACATGTTGTCCTAATATAATTCCACAGKCCTCAGATCAGTGAAACGTCAATTGCTTGTCTTCATGGTGACAGAGTTCAGGACTCAGACAAATCAGGGACAGGGTCTGCACTGGTCCGATACTTAAGGACAGGGTCTGCACCGGTCCGATACTAAAGGACAGGGTCTGCACTGGTCCGATACTAAAGGACAGGGTCTGCACTGGTCCGATACTAAAGGACAGGGTCTGCACTGGTCCGATCCTCAAGTACGGGGTCTGCACTGGTCTGATTCTCAAGGACGGGGTCTACATCGGTCTGATTATCAGGGACGGGGTCTACACTGGTCTGGTTATCAGAGATGGGGTCTAGATTGGTCTGGTTATCAGAGACGGGGTCTAGATTGGTCTGGTTATCAGGGACGGGGTCTACGTTGGTCTGGTTATCAGGGACGGGGTGTACAATGGTCTGGTTATCAGGGACGGGGTCTACATTGGCCTGATTATCAAGGACAAGGTCTACGTTAGTCTGACTATCAAGAAAAGGGTCTACAATGGTCTGATCATCAGGGACAGGGTCTGGACTGGACTGGTCATCAAGGACAGGGTCTACAATGGTCTGGTCATCAGGGACAGGGTCTGAACTGGTCTGGTTACCAGGGACAAGGTCTGAACTGGTCTGGTTATCAGGGACAAGGTCTGAACTGGTCAGGTTATCAGGGACAGGGTCTGAACTGGTCTGGTTATCAGGGACAGGGTCTGAACTGGTCAGGTTATCAGGGACAGGGTCTGAACTGGTCTGGTTATCAGGGACAAGGTCTGACCTGGTCTGGTTATCAGGGACAGGGTCTGAACTGGTCTGGTTATCAGGGACAGGGTCTGAACTGGTCTGGTTATCAGGGACAGGGTCTGAAC